TAGGACTATTTCAACTAATTTATAAATAGAACATTAATGAAACCATCATATCTACTTCTCAAATTCTCAAGAGAATTCCTATTTATACCTCCCATAATTATATTTTAATTTAATTTCATTAATTGAAGGGCTCCAAATATAACCTATTCTTATTCCAAATGGTAGCAGACGGGGAACTAAAGACAGCATAAACCCATTTTTATGGATATAGATTACTTGACTTTATCCTATATGAATTAATTTCTTTTAATTGACCTATATTTTTTCTAGGGCTTTTGTATTTTGATAGTTTTTTTGCGATTTAGTAAAAATTAAAAATATATCCTAATATATTTTTTTTAATAAGAGGGTTTAGGTCACTAAGTTTGATATTTCATTACTGAACTCCTTTACATTTAAATAAACTAATATGCATAGCATAGAAGAAAATAATTAGGAATTGTTAAAAGTCCAGTCTGAGATAATATCAAAAAAGCTTGAGTTTATTACCATAGCAAAATTAAGTTTAATTTAATTTTTATCATTTATTAATAATTTATTTATTAAAAATGATATTTTAAACGGTAGTGGAGAAACAAAATTATTGAACGAAGATTAAACCAAAATAAAATATGAGCCAAGAAGAGAAAATATAGAAGTAGTAATTAAATAAGAAAATTATGGAAGGGAAATCCCATTAAGCAAATTATTTCCTTCAATTCCATCTAAAACGAAATTTCGTCCACTTACCATTCTAAGCCACATATATAAATCCGTAAAATAAGATTCCTACCTAACTTAAAAACTACATGATGGGATGGCTCAGTCAAGAGCAAGCAGGATTTGTACCAAAATCATTCGGTCAGATTAATATACTACATCTTATCGATCGTATAACCGCGTACTCAAAAAGACAAGATGAACTATTTATTTATTGATTTCAACAATTTGTTTTTAATACTGTTAACAGCGAATACTAGATCAGATTCTTAAATAAAAAGAAGTTCTAGACATAAATAACAATGATTTCCTATAAGTGCCGTTCTGAAATGGTGTTATCCAAGGATCGTCTTTGTCATCTCTGCTATTCAATATCTAACTTGAGAGAATTCTATCTATACTCAAGTCACAAATTTAGCCAGGTTATTCATGCAATCGCTAGCTGTGATTAAATAATAAAACTAGATAATTTTTCAATCTCTATGGATAAATATGCAAAAATAATTCGCTATAAATAAATAAAAAAGAAATCTGGAATTAAGCTCATAAATAATCAAAGTAAAATTAAATCTGAGGACCTCTTTTGATACTCTTCAGTAGAGTATTACAAGTATAAGTATTTGGCCATAAAATTTAATTGTTTCTGTAAAATATTACCATAAATAACAAAAGAAAAAAAAGTATTTATATGTAGACATAAAAGTTGCTATGGATCTCAAAAGGATTCGGTTTTTAATTTCGAATGTAAATAAGAATTCGATAAGTACTAAGATAAGAAGAAAAGCAAAAAAACTAATAAGAAGAGAGCTATTGAACTCAATTTAAGAACACAGTGAAACCAAATGAATTTAAAATGTTTAAATGTTAATAATAAAGTAATAATTATAAGTGTTATATATAAACTAAAGAATGAAATGAAAGTAATTCAAAATCTTGAATAAAATTAAAGAAAAATATTCTGAAAAAGCTTTAAGTATTGCTCATTTTATGGACATTGGGAACAAATCATTGATCAATACATTTTTAGAAAAGGATTGGGAGCCAAAGAGTTTGCTCCTCTATAAATAAGGCTTTTTCGAGACATTTATTTAAGCCTTGCTCTCTATAAACTCATTAGTTTCAATTACTCAAATAAAGAATATATGATTTTGATGAAGGAAGAGAGCGTAGAAGTGCTCAACTCTCAAATTTATTAGAGTACGATAAAGAAAAGAAGAAATAAATATTTTAGGTTGAAATATTTTGTTGATGTCTTACTTTTTGATTTTAAATTCTAATATAAATATTACAAATTTATGTTAGAAATCAATACTATTAATTGCTTTTTTTGATTCATTATTAATAATCAAAAAGTATTAATGTTTTTAATTTTGCTCAGGCTTACTAAATTTCTTATTTTTCACATTAATTTTTAATTTTTTCTTTTTGCAATTTAACCTAAATATACTGAGGCAATTTCTCCTTCTGGGAAATGGGATTTTTCTTTTATCTTTAATTCCAATTTGTTTTTATTTATCTATTCTATTTCTGGATGAGGGCTCTGAAGAAATAATAAATTTTATAAATCTGGACGAAGCTTTTGGTGAATGTCAGGCCTCCTTAGGATTTATGGGTGATTTCTGTCTCTTTGTTCACCATATACATAAGAACGACAAACCAAGAAGAGCAAGATAAGGAGTAAAATTAATGGAGCTTCTAATTATTTACAACTTTGAGTATTAACAAAGCCTTCAAATCTAAAAAAGAGAATTAAATCTATAATGGGAGAAATTAGAAAAAACTTATGAGCAGGCAAGAAGCTAGGCATAGTTCATTATTTAAAAATATAGGATATATAAAGAAAGCTAAAGAGCGCAAGGAAGAGCAACGTTTAAAGCTCTTGAAATTTTGAACAAGCTTATGAATTACTCTTATTTCATCATATAAAACTCATCTTTCCTCTTCTTTTATTGGGATAGATCTTATCTCCAATAGATAATAAAAACAAAAAAACTTTTTGTAGGCTAATACAATATGATTAACTAAATATGAAAGTATACTTATATAAATACAATATCAATTAATAGTATTATGAATCATCAATTTTTTTTAAATAAATCTAATTCATCTTGTAAAATTCTTATTAAGGTAGTTAATTTTTCATAATAATTGTATGATAACATAGTATTCATTTTTATTTTTTTCGCAATGATCGAANAATAATTATAAGTGTTATATATAAACTAAAGAATGAAATGAAAGTAATTCAAAATCTTGAATAAAATTAAAGAAAAATATTCTGAAAAAGCTTTAAGTATTGCTCATTTTATGGACATTGGGAACAAATCATTGATCAATACATTTTTAGAAAAGGATTGGGAGCCAAAGAGTTTGCTCCTCTATAAATAAGGCTTTTTCGAGACATTTATTTAAGCCTTGCTCTCTATAAACTCATTAGTTTCAATTACTCAAATAAAGAATATATGATTTTGATGAAGGAAGAGAGCGTAGAAGTGCTCAACTCTCAAATTTATTAGAGTACGATAAAGAAAAGAAGAAATAAATATTTTAGGTTGAAATATTTTGTTGATGTCTTACTTTTTGATTTTAAATTCTAATATAAATATTACAAATTTATGTTAGAAATCAATACTATTAATTGCTTTTTTTGATTCATTATTAATAATCAAAAAGTATTAATGTTTTTAATTTTGCTCAGGCTTACTAAATTTCTTATTTTTCACATTAATTTTTAATTTTTTCTTTTTGCAATTTAACCTAAATATACTGAGGCAATTTCTCCTTCTGGGAAATGGGATTTTTCTTTTATCTTTAATTCCAATTTGTTTTTATTTATCTATTCTATTTCTGGATGAGGGCTCTGAAGAAATAATAAATTTTATAAATCTGGACGAAGCTTTTGGTGAATGTCAGGCCTCCTTAGGATTTATGGGTGATTTCTGTCTCTTTGTTCACCATATACATAAGAACGACAAACCAAGAAGAGCAAGATAAGGAGTAAAATTAATGGAGCTTCTAATTATTTACAACTTTGAGTATTAACAAAGCCTTCAAATCTAAAAAAGAGAATTAAATCTATAATGGGAGAAATTAGAAAAAACTTATGAGCAGGCAAGAAGCTAGGCATAGTTCATTATTTAAAAATATAGGATATATAAAGAAAGCTAAAGAGCGCAAGGAAGAGCAACGTTTAAAGCTCTTGAAATTTTGAACAAGCTTATGAATTACTCTTATTTCATCATATAAAACTCATCTTTCCTCTTCTTTTATTGGGATAGATCTTATCTCCAATAGATAATAAAAACAAAAAAACTTTTTGTAGGCTAATACAATATGATTAACTAAATATGAAAGTATACTTATATAAATACAATATCAATTAATAGTATTATGAATCATCAATTTTTTTTAAATAAATCTAATTCATCTTGTAAAATTCTTATTAAGGTAGTTAATTTTTCATAATAATTGTATGATAACATAGTATTCATTTTTATTTTTTTCGCAATGATCGAACTATATAAGTAGCTAATTAGGCTGATGAATTATTACAATTCATTACTAATTAGCTGAGGCACAATCTGAAATAACTTATTAGAAATATTTATTATAATAATTTTTTATTAATTGTTTTTGAAAAATAAACTGTTTCCTTAAACAAGAATAACAATTAAAAATCTTTGCCATTATTTAATAAAGAAAATATGAACAAATGATATAAATTAATATTTACTTTATCTTGATTGATACATGAAACTCTCTCTTTTTAAAAAATACTTTCAGAACTATTTTTACAATAACAATTTATTAATGAATCAGAGCTTACTTAATCAATTGTAATTATTAAAGTACTTTGATTAGCTTAATTTATCAAAAAAAGTAGATAAGTACAATATTTTATTTGAAATATTTTTAGTTTTAAAAGACCTGAAAAAGAATTTTTGCAATATTTTAGAATTTAATATATTAGTTGTGGCTTCTTAAATAACATTTAAAATTATGTAATAAATTATCCATAGTTGTGTTTTATAATAATCTAAATTATTTTATGGAACACATAATTAGTACGTTGAAAAAGAAAATACAACATTAAATTAGTATTTTTAATAAAAAAATGAATGTTTTGGGAGAGGATATGATAAAAAAAGAAAAAAATCATTAATAAAACAAATTTGATATGAAGAAAATTTGAAATAAAAAATTAAGGTTGTCATCAACTTTACGCTTAGAAAAGCTTAAAACGAATAGAATACCATCTGGTGTATAAAAGCCTTTATTGTTAAGATTCAAAGTTGCTAGTTATGTCTCAGGAGTTATAAATGGGTTAGGGAAGAAATGATTAGCAAAATGAAGTAGTACGATATGATAGGAAGGAGATTTAAACAGAAGGTTAAGATGGTAATACATCTGAAAGAATGACTGTTAAAAGAGAAGGTGAAGATGCAACATCTGAAAGAATTGCTGTAAAGAGAGAAGGTGAAGATGCAACATCTGAAAGAATTGCTGTTAAAAGAGAAGGTGAAGATGCAACATCTGAAAGAATTGCTGTAAAGAGAGAAGGTGAAGATGCAACATCTGAAAGAATTGCTGTTAAAAGAGAAGGTGAAGATGCAACATCTGAAAGAATTGCTGTTAAAAGAGAAGGTGAAGATGCAACATCTGAAAGAATTGCTGTTAAAAGAGAAGGTGAAGATGCAACATCTGAAAGAATTGCTGTTAAAAGAGAAGGTGAAGATGCAACATCTGAAAGAATTGCTGTTAAAAGAGAAGGTGAAGATGCAACATCTGAAAGAATTGCTGTTAAAAGAGAAGGTGAAGATGCAACATCTGAAAGAATTGCTGTTAAAAGAGAAGGTGAAGATGCAACATCTGAAAGAATTGCTGTTAAAAGAGAAGGTGAAGATGCAACATCTGAAAGAATTGCTGTTAAGAGAGAAGGTGAAGACACAACATCTGAAAGAATTGCTGTTAAAAGAGAAGGTGAAGACACAACATCTGAAAGAATTGCTGTTAAAAGAGAAGGTGAAGATACAACATCTGAAAGAATTGCTGTTAAAAGAGAAGGTGAAGATGCAACATCTGAAAGAATTGCTGTTAAAAGAGAAGGTGAAGATGCAACATCTGAAAGAATTGCTGTTAAAAGAGAAGGTGAAGATACAACATCTGAAAGAATTGCTGTTAAAAGAGAAGGTGAAGATGCAACATCTGAAAGAATTGCTGTTAAAAGAGAAGGTGAAGATGCAACATCTGAAAGAATTGCTGTTAAAAGAGAAGGTGAAGATACAACATCTGAAAGAATTGCTGTTAAAAGAGAAGGTGAAGATGCAACATCTGAAAGAATTGCTGTTAAAAGAGAAGGTGAAGATGCAACATCTGAAAGAATTGCTGTTAAAAGAGAAGGTGAAGATACAACATCTGAAAGAATTGCTGTTAAAAGAGAAGGTGAAGATGCAACATCTGAAAGAATTGCTGTTAAAAGAGAAGGTGAAGATGCAACATCTGAAAGAATTGCTGTTAAAAGAGAAGGTGAAGATACAACATCTGAAAGAATTGCTGTTAAAAGAGAAGGTGAAGATGCAACATCTGAAAGAATTGCTGTTAAAAGAGAAGGTGAAGATGCAACATCTGAAAGAATTGCTGTTAAAAGAGAAGGTGAAGATACAACATCTGAAAGAATTGCTGTTAAAAGAGAAGGTGAAGATGCAACATCTGAAAGAATTGCTGTTAAAAGAGAAGGTGAAGATGCAACATCTGAAAGAATTGCTGTTAAAAGAGAAGGTGAAGATACAACATCTGAAAGAATTGCTGTTAAAAGAGAAGGTGAAGATGCAACATCTGAAAGAATTGCTGTTAAAAGAGAAGGTGAAGATGCAACATCTGAAAGAATTGCTGTTAAAAGAGAAGGTGAAGATACAACATCTGAAAGAATTGCTGTTAAAAGAGAAGGTGAAGATGCAACATCTGAAAGAATTGCTGTTAAAAGAGAAGGTGAAGATGCAACATCTGAAAGAATTGCTGTTAAAAGAGAAGGTGAAGATACAACATCTGAAAGAATTGCTGTTAAAAGAGAAGGTGAAGATGCAACATCTGAAAGAATTGCTGTTAAAAGAGAAGGTGAAGATGCAACATCTGAAAGAATTGCTGTTAAAAGAGAAGGTGAAGATACAACATCTGAAAGAATTGCTGTTAAAAGAGAAGGTGAAGATGCAACATCTGAAAGAATTGCTGTTAAAAGAGAAGGTGAAGATGCAACATCTGAAAGAATTGCTGTTAAAAGAGAAGGTGAAGACACAACATCTGAAAGAATTGCTGTTAAAAGAGAAGGTGAAGATACAACATCTGAAAGAATTGCTGTAAAGAGAGAAGGTGAAGATGCAACATCTGAAAGAATTGCTGTTAAAAGAGAAGGTGAAGATGCAACATCTGAAAGAATTGCTGTAAAGAGAGAAGGTGAAGATAATCCTTCACCAAGTAAAACCGAAACCAATGAACAAGAATTAAATCAAACATTACATGCTGAAGCAACAAACCAAAAAAGAGAAAATTTAGAATTAGAAATTAATAGTGAAACAGAAGTCTTAAAAAATTAAGATAATTATTCAATAGTCTTGCTTTCATTTCCAATCATTATTATGTTATTAGAATGATTGATTTATACGTATAACCAAATATATTATTAAATAAATTTCTTTATTGGTGATATAAGTTTAATTAAATACAGATTTGAATGAAATTTCAGAATAATTAATTTAAAACTATCAAAATTTCACTTTTAAAGAGATTCACATATATCTAAATAAAATAAATTTTATTATTAAAAAACCTATTAATGTTTTTGACATGTTTGCCTTGGTGATTGCATTATTTGTTTATCCTAAAGGTATTTTTTTATGTAATTTTAATATATACCTGATAATAACATATTTTAACCTATTCTGGTATTAGTACAAATCAACAATATAAACTCTTACTACATTACTATATTAATGGGCTATTTTAAAGCACATTTTATTGCATAATCCATTCGCTTGCAGTTTCTTCCTTTTTTATTTAAGTTACTTTGATCAAATTATTAATCATTTTTAATCACTAATATCCAACTTAAGCACTTCCTCTGGTGACTTTAAAAAACTATTTGAAATGTACTTCGATAATTTATGATATTTACAAAGAAGCATTTTTGATATATTAGAAATAAGTAGAATATTAAATATAAATATTTCAGATAATTACTTTTAAGGAATTTTTCTTCTTTATTCAAACATGGCGCGCTATTTATAGAAGATTGATATCTAGAAAATAAAAGTCCATTTGATAATATTATAAGATAAAAAATTCCAATCAATCTTCAAAGAAAATTTATTATAAAAATAATGATTTAGTAGTTTGAAATTGATAAAATACCTGAAGCTTAGTTAATTATATATATGTAAATTGTTTTTTTAATTCAAATGAACCATTTTTTGTGATAAAAATTTTACTTATAAATTCAGAACCATTTTTTGTTTGGGAATCATTAATAATTATAATGATAATAATAACAATAT